CTCAAGAAAATATAATACACCAAGGGAACATTTCATGCAAAGATGAGCACAATAAAGGACAGAAATGGTAGGGACCTAACAGAAGCAGAAGATGTTAAGAGGAGGTGGCAAGAACACACAGAAGAACTACACAAAAACAATCTTTATAACCCAGATAACCACGATGGTGTGATCACTCACCTAGAGCCAGACAACCTGCAGTTCAAAGAAAAGTGGGCTTTAGGAAGCATCATTATGAACAAAGCTAGTGGACGTGATGAAATTCCAACTGAGCTATTTCAAATCCTAAAAGATGATGCTGTGAAAGTGCTGCACCCAATATGACAGCAAATTTGGAAAACTCAGCAGTGGCCACAGGACTGGAAAAGGTCAGTTTTCATTCCAATTCCAAAGAAGGGCAATGTCAAATAATGTTCAAACTACTGCACAACTGCACTCATCTCACATGCTAGCAAAGTAATTCTCAAAATTCCCAAGCTAGGCTTCAATAGTACATAAACCAAGAATTTCCAGATGTTCAAACTGGATTTATAAAAGGCAGAGGAAACAGAGATCAAATTGCCAACATCCACTGGATCATAGAAAAAGCCAGAGAATTCCAGGAAAACATCTGCTTCATTGACTGCGCCAAAGCCTTTGACTACGTGGATCACAACAAACTGGAAAATTCTTAAAGAGTTGGGAATAACAGACCACCTTACCGGCCTCCTGCAAAATCTGTATGCAGATCAAGAAGCAACAGTTAGAACCAGATGTGGAACAACAGACTGGTTCCAGACTGGGAAATGAGTACATTGGGAAATGAGTACGTCAAGGCTGTATATTGTCACCCTGCTTATTTAACTTACATGCGGATTAGATCTCTGGCAAATGGTACTGTGAACAAAGTCCTTTGATGCCTGGGGCTGCTGTCCTAGTCTCTACACAAAGCTACTTTATGTATTTATTCTTTTATTATAAATTTTTAAAGATAGGTTTGTCATAGTTTTTCTTCCAAGGAGCAAGCCTCATTTAATTTCATGGCTGCAGTCACCATCTGCAGTGATTTTGGAGCCCAAGAAAATAAAGTCTGTCTCTGTTTCCATTGTTTCCCCATCTATTTTCCATGAAGTGATGGGACTGGATGCCATGATCTTAGTTTTCTGAATGTTGAGTTTTAAGCCAGCTTTTTAAAGATATGGTTCCCGCCCTCGAGGAGCTTCCAGAATACCAAGGCCCTAGTGGCTCACTGGTAAAGAATTTGCCTGCCCATACAGGAGACACGTGTTTGATCCCTGATAGAGGACGATCCTACCTGCCGCAGGACATCTAAGCCCATGCACCACCATTACTGAGTCTGCGCTCTAGAGCCCAGGGGCTGCAACTCCTGAAGCCACCACACCCTAGAGCCTGTGCTCCGTAACGAGAGAAGCCACCACAATGAAATGCCTGCACACCGCAACTAGAGAAAAGTTTATGCAGCAAGGAAGACCCAGCCCAGCCAAAAACAAACAGATACAATTAACTGTTTTTAAAAATTAAAAAAATAGTAGAAGGACAGGTGTTGGGACTACCCTGGAGGTCCAGGGTTAAAACTCCATGCTTCCAATGAAGGGGTGCAGGTTCCACACCTGGTTGGGAAAGTAAGATCCCATTTGCCACGTGTCAAGGCTTTTAATAAAAAAACACAATTAAAAAGTAAAAGGACAGCTGTCAATTGGGTTTCCATGGTTGTGGCAGATAATATTTTCCAAGCTGGCCCTTCCTACAGAGTGATAGTGACGCACTCCCACTGATAAACGAGACCCATAGTCCCTCCCCCTGAGAAGTGGGTCAGCCTGGGATCTCCTGCAAGCTTGCTTTTGGAACCCAGTTGCCACACTGCAAGGAAGCCCCAGGCTGTGGGAAAAGGCCCCAGGTGCTCAGAAAGACAGCCCCAGCTGAGGGTGCACCCGATGGCCCGCATCAGCTGCGGTTTCCTGCCTGAGGAAGTGAGGCGTAACGCAAAGCGGAGGTGGTCGCTGTCCCCAGCTCCTGGCCCAGAGCGCCTAACACCTTTGGAATTCACTGAGGGATCGGAGTGTCTTTGGTTACTCATAAGGGGACCTTTTCCACCGTGTCTGACTTTATGCTAATGAGGTGGCTCAGGCCTGGGCCCCTAGACAGCTTCTCGGTGGGGACTGAACTCCAGAAAAACCTACCACTGTGATTAGCGGGTTAGAATCTTCAGCACCAACCCCAGCCTTCCAGAGATAGATGGGGACTGGAGATGTGCTTTAATCAGCTCTGCCTGTTGATAAAAACCTGAAAGGAAGAGGTGGGAGGAGCTCTGGGATAGGGAACAGACTTCCAGGCTGGGAGGGTGGAGAGTCTAGGGTCCGTGAGGACGGGGCATGGAGGCTCTGAGCCTCCCTCCACCAGAGAGCTCACCCTATTCAATCAATTATTTAGTTATTTTTATTTTATTTATTTATCTTTCTCAGTTGTTCCAGGTGGCATGTGGCACATAGGATCTCAGTTCCCCAACCAGGGACCGAATCCGTGCCCTCTGCAATGGAAGCTCAGAGTTTTAGCCAGTGGATCACCAGAGAAGTCCCTCTTTTAAAAAATTTTAACCATTTTATTGAAGTATGATTGCCATGAAAGTGAAAGTGTTAGTTGCTCAGTCGTGTCTGACTCTTTGCAACTCCATGGACTGTAGCCAGCCAGGCTCCTCTGTCCATGGGATTTTTCTGGGTAAGAATACTGGAGTGGCTTGCCATTCCCTTCTCCAGTCCTTTTTTACATTTTCTGTGAAGCAATTTTTATTGAACCATTTTATTGAAGTATGATTGCTTTATGAAAGGCTAAACATATTCAGTGTATGCAACTCGATGAGTCTGAACACAAACATACACCTACCAAACTATCGCCACCATCTATGCGCTAAACATATCCACGATCTCCAAAATTCCCCCTGCCACTCTTACTTTTTTTTTCTGCATTGAGAGGCATGTGTGATCTTAGTTCCCGGACTAGGATTGAACCCACACCTCTTGTGGTAGAAATGTGGAGTCTTAATCACTGGGCCACTGGGAAAATCCCGTCTCCTTTGCTTATTATTCTTATTTGTTAAAAGGACACTTAACATAAGACCTGCACTCTTGGCAAGTTTTTACACATACAATACAGTACTGTTAATTCCAGGCACTAGGCTATGTACGCGGCCCTCTAGGACTTGTTCATTTTGTATCACTGAAACTTCGCACCCGTTGACTACTGCCTCCCTCTTGCCCTATCCCCTGGCAACCATCATTCTATTCCCTACTTTCATGAGTTTAACTCTTTTATTATTTTTGAAATTAAGTACAGTTGATTTAGGGTCTCCCAGGTGGCACTAGTGGTAAAGAACCTGCCTGCCAGCGCAGGAGACGTAAGAGATGAGGGTTCCATCCCTGGGTTGGGAAGATGCCCTGGAGGAGTACATGGCAACCCACTCCAGTTTTCTTGCCTGGATAATCCCATGGACAGAGGAGCCTGGAGGCCTACAGTCTGTAGAGTGGCAAAGAGTTGGACACGACTGAAGTGACTTGGCGCGCGCGCGCACACACACACACACATGCACAGCTGATTTACAATATTGTGTTAGTTCCTGGTGTACGGCAAAGTGATTCATAAGGATTAATAAAGAATATACATGTATATTATTTTTCATATTGTTTTTATTATTACAAGCTATTGAATATAATTCTGTGTCATACAGTAGGACCGTATTGTTTACGTTTTTTATATAGTAGTTCTATCTGCTAATCCCAAACTCCTGATTTATCCCTTCCTTAGCTTCTTTTCCCTTTGGTAACTAGAAGTTTGTTTTCTATGCCTGTGAGTCTATTTCTGTTTTGTAAATAAGTTTATTTGTATCATAATTTATTTATTTGTTTAGTTGTAGCACGCAGTATCTTAGTCGCGGCACGGGGGATCTAGTTCCCTGACCAGGGATGGAACCCAGGGCCTCTGCATCGGGAGCTCGGAGCCCTAGCCACTGGACCACCAGGGAAGTCCCAGAGGATCTATGGTGACTACAGAGCCTCGGGGATTCCAGGGACAGACAATCTGAGGTCAAAGAATGAGAAGTGAAGAGCATGCGGAAAACGGCAGCAGCTGTGGCTCTTGGGCTGCAAGCAACCGAAAGCTACTCTGGATTAAGGAAAAGAAAAAGGGAAAAATACTAGGGGAGCTCAGAGAGTGACAGGAAGAGATGAGCAACTGGGACTCAGAAAGGACATGATTCAGGCAGGGCCACCCTGGGGCCCTCAAGGATCTTCTCCGGGAGGCAGACATCACAATAACTTATTCCCACATAACCGAGGACCTTGTCCTGCTCCTCCCAGGTTGCCCTTCCTGGCGAAGGGAGGCGGATTCTGGTCTGGGTGCCTGCCTGCCTGCTGGGGAAAAGGGAGGAGCCCAGTGACTCACAGCCCACCAGAACCCCAAGGAATGAGGGAGAGGAAGTCTCCCCCCACACACACCCCATAAAAGAACAGGAAGCTGTGGCTGGCCTGGCAAAACCAAAAGGCATCTACTGGATTCGCTCGGAGAAGGTTCAGTGCCAGTGGCAGAGACCTCCAGGGACAATGGCTTAAAGGAGATCAAAGTTGATTTCTCTGGTGTCTCCAAACCCAGAGGTAAATAGTTCAGGCTGGTACCTTCCTCTTATCTGTGAAGTCTCAGGGCCCAGCTCCTTCCTCGGGTATCAATCTAGAGCTCTAGCCAGCACGTCTAAGTTCTAAGCAGAGGATGAAGAAACAGAGTGGAGAGGGAGCCGAGGGTGTGCCCCCCGGATCCTGGGAAAACATCACACTTCTTACATTCCACTGGCCGGATTTTCATCACGTGACCACTCAAGCTGCAGTGCAGGCTGGGAAATGTCATCCCTGCTAAAAATTCTTTTGCCCCCAAGGAAGAAAAGCCTGGCTCCAGGATAATGCCCAGGTCCTGCCACATCCACCATGCACCATCTGGCTGCCCAGTACTCACATGCATACATCTTTTCACTTCTATTTAATATTTTCCCACCCATCAGGATGTTCCCACCCATCACAGTGACGCCACCATCATGTCACACCCAACACAGGATACACTCCTCGTTCTCAGGTCCAAGTGCTGCAAGAGGTCCAAGTCCAGCGCCTCTGGGAGTGTCCTCTTTCTTCAATCCCATCTCAATGTTTTGTAACCTGTGGACCAAAGAGAAGTCTAACTGGCACCTACTCACCTTATGAATGTGTACTTTAGTCGTTCAGTTGTGTCCGACTCTTTGTGACCCCATGGACTGTAGCTGTGTCCATGGGATTCTCCAGGCAAGAATACTGGAGTGGGTTGCCGTTCACTTCTCCAGGGGATCTTCCTGACCCAGGGATCGAACCTGGGTTGCCGCCCGCATTGTAGGCAGATTCTTTACTGTCTGAGCCACTAATAATGCGAAAAAGGAAGAGGAAAGAGATGAAAACATTCAAAAATAACACTGAAATGGCACAGAATGCCAGGAAATGCAGGTAGGCACTGTCTACAGTCCCCATTCTACAGTCAGAAGCCTGGAGCTGACATTTATCACTTCCCTTTTCACTACCCTTGCTGAGATCCCCCTGTCTTTGGCCAGCATCAAAGTTAATTTGTTCAAAACTTCACTCCTAAGAGGTCTCAGTCCTTGGTAGTCCAGCTCACAAAGGAATTCTAGCATCTTGGGGGAAACTTTTACCTACTTCTCCCCACTTTTTTTTGTCCATTTGGCATGCAGGATCTTAGTTCCCCAACCAGTGATCAAACCCATGCCCCCTGCACTGGAAGAATGGAGTCCTAATAACTGGGCTGCAAGGGATGTCCCTAAACCTTTACCCCTGATGTATCAGTCATCTATTGCTGGGTGATTAATAACTCCTAAACTTAAAGGCTTCAAAGAACAATAAAGAGCAGGCAGGGTTTTGTACTTTCAGAATGACTGCCATCAAAAAGTCTACAAACAATAAATGCTGGAGAGGGTATAGAGAAAAGGGAACCCTCTTACACTGTTTGTGGGAATGCAAACTAGTACAGCCACTGTGGAGAACAGTGTGGAGATCCCTTAAGAGACTGGAAATCCCTCTGGTGGGCAGACACACCCAGGAAACCAGAATTGAAAGAGACACCTGTATCCCAGTGTTCACGGCAGCACTCTTTACAATAGCTAGGACACGGGAGCAACCTAGATGGCCATCGGCAGACGAATGGATAAGGAGGTTGTGGCACGTATACGCGATGGAATATTACTCAGCTATAAAAAGGAACACGTCTGAGTTGGTTCTAATGAGATGGATGAAACTGGAGCCTATTATACAGAGTGAAGTAAGTCAAAAAGAGAAACAGCACTACAGTATATTAACACCTATGTATGGAATTTAGAAAGATGGTAATGACGACCCTATATGCAAGACAGCAAAAGAGACACAGATGTAAAGAACAGACTTGGACTCTGTGGGAGAAGCCGAGGATGGGACGATTTGGGAGGATAGCACTGAAACGTGTTTATTATCATATGTGAAACAGAGGACCGATTGCAAGTTTGATGCAGGAAGCAGGACACTCAGAGCCGGTGCTCTGGGACAATCCAGAGGGATGGGGTGGGGAGGGAGGTGGGGGGGGCTCGGGATGGGGGGACACGTGTGCACCCGTGGCTGATTCACGTCGATGTGTGGCAAAAACCACCACAATATTGTAAAGTAATTAGCTTCCAATTAAGAAAAGAGAGAGCAGGCAGGGTTTTGGAGAATGACTGTGACCACTTCCACGTCACCCTGCGGAGCTGGGGACAGCCCAGGAGCACACGTTCACAGTACAGGAGGGGAGGAGCACTAAACGATCAGAGAGAACAATAATAGGCTATTTGGTCTTTTTTTTTTTTTTTTGCCTTCAAGCAGTAGGCCTTTAAAAAAGCATCATAAGGAAACTATTATCTGTAGGCTCCATAAACAACAAGATCCTATGTATAGCACAGGGAGCTATAGTCAATATCTTGTGATAAACCATATGGAAGAGAAATATAAAAAAAGAACATATACATTATTTAGCTGAATCACTTTGCTCTACAGAAGAAATTAGCACAACATCGTAATTCAACCATACTTCAATAAATCAAATTTTTTTAAAAAAGGCATCACAGGGACACATTTTGGTCAAAATATTTTTTGAAATGAGACTAGAGGATCATCATATCAATTCCTAGAAATTAATCTGTAATTTACAGTACGCTTCAATCACTATGAATAAAAGGCCAGTCTTGTTTTTCCATCTCCCCACTGTCAACAGTGCACTCCCTTCATCCTATAATTTTGTTCATATGAATCTCTAAGATTAAAAACTCAATAAAGTAGCTTTAATTACATCAGCACACCTAACATTCAAGAACTAACAATAGTTCTTGAATTTCAGAAATACCTAATTCATGACCAATTTTCTCTATCTCAAAAATAGGTTTAAAAACTTTTTTAAAAAAATTAAAAAAAAAAAATTTGGCCGGGCCTCATGGCTTGTGAGATCTTAGTTCCCCAACCAGGGACTGAACCCGAGCCTTCACCAGTGAAAGAAAAGACACCTAACCACTGGACCACCAGGGAATTCCACGCCCCCACCCTGTGTTTTTAATTACAAAATTTCACGTGTATGCAAAAGCAGACAGAACAGTAGAGGGTATCTTCATATATGCATCATCCACTTATAGAGTTATCAATTTATGGATCAGTTTGGGTCATCTCTACTCATTACTGGAAAGAAAATTCCTTGTACCATACATTACTACATCTGTAAATATTTCAAGGATATTTCTAAGGGATACACTCTTTTTACATGCAACCAGAATTTCATTTAGCACCTTAAAAATAATAATTCCTATCATCAAATTTTCTGTATTGCCACCTCTTTTATCTAAGTGACTTTAAAGAAATATTTATTTATTAGGCTGCATTGGGTCTTAGTCGAGGCACACAGGAGTCTTGCGGGACCCTTTGCTGTGGCACCCAGACTCCAGCTGTGGCCCATGGGCTCTGCGGCATGGGCTCAGCAGTCGTGGGGCAGGGTCTTCATTGCTCCTTGGCATATGGGTCTTATTTCCCTGACCAGGGATTGAACCTTTGTTCCCTGCACCACCAGATGGATTCTTAACCATTGGACCACCAGGGAAGTCCCCAGCGTTAAACATTATTAATTGCAATGATTATTAACGGACCCACTGAACTTGCATTCTAAGCACTCCAGGGCTCTGAGCATGAAAATAGCTATTACTTTTGAGTGCTCTCTCTCTCTGCTTCCCAGATGGTGCTGGTAGTAAAGATCCTCCCTGCCAGTGCAGGAGACCTGAAAGACTCAGGTTTGATCCCTGGGTCGGGAATATCCCCTGGAGGAGGGCATGGCAACCCATTCCAGTATTCTTGCCTGGAGAATCCCGTGGACAAGAGGAGCCTGGCTGGCTACAGTCCATATCTCCATGGGGTTGCAAAGAGTCAGACACGACTAAAGTGACTTAGCACTATCTGCCTGGGATGTGCTAGGTGCTCTGGACCCCTGACAGTCGTTTATTGTTATTTCTCACAAATATGCTGTAGGGTGGATGTCCTTATACTCATTTCACAGAACCAGGTCATGGGGCATTGAGAAGTTGCTGAGCCTGAAACCTGGCTTCTCTGCGCTTTTCTCGCTGGCTCATGCTGAGAAAACAAAGAAACGCTTTCCTAGTTCCCTCACCAGAGATGCTGCTCAGAAAGCAGGGAGGAAGATGATGGGCAAATCACCTGGATCCTACTGATCAGCAATCATGATTGTTCATAAAACTGTTCTCTTTGCCTCCTCTTTTCTCCTCCTTCCTCTCACAATCCTTTGTACTTCTATGAAAATACTTTTCACACTGACTTATAATTAGTTCTGTCTTGTTTGTGTCTCAAATTATAATTAGCAGGATGTCTTCCCCAGAGATGCCAGAAAATTCAGACTTGAGTTAAAATGTTGTCATGAGGCTAAACTAATTTACCAGCCTGCTTTGTAGCACAGAACTAGTTAACGTTGATATAGAGCAAACCTTAAATCCCAATAGTGCTCCTGATGTCTTCTCTTTGACCTCTCCTTCTGTCTAATTACAACAAGCTTCTTACCTTGCTCAGTTAAGCTTTATGATAATTTTGTTTGCCATTGTTTATGGCAACCAAATAGCTTGTTTAAAATGCCTCATTGCCTCAATGGCATTTAGAGACAAAAATGAGTAACCAGGGAGGAGATATATATATCTCTCACAGCCCCCAAGCCCATCTGGTCTTTCAACATAGTTTTAATAAACAGGATTGCCAATTCTCCACCCCAGAAAATCTTTACAGGCCCAGAAATAAATTTAGCTGATCTCCAACCCTGTTTTCACATTGTTGGATTGGTTTTGAGTCTTTTGGCAAATTTTCCATGAAAGACCCTAGCCTTTAAAATTTAGTTTTCCTAAGACACTGTATAAAGAAGTGTTAATTTTGCTTCTGGGAGACGATGTTTTGAAAAACAACCATAATTCAGCAGTATGTGTTCTGTCATCTTCAAAGACAGCACCCACTGTGCACCGAAAGGAAAACACTGCTCACAAAAAAAAGGGAAGTGAGCTTTTTAAAGTCAATGACAAATGCGGCAAAACGCTATGCTGCAAAAATAAGGGAAATGAAAGGTTTGTGCAAATCCTTTGAAAAAACATTGTTTTCATAATAATATAGCTAGTCAAAAGCTAAAATCCTTCAAATATCTATTTCTTGGCCCAAAACATAATGGGTAGTGAAAATAGTATAATGGAACATCAAAAAGTATAATTCTTTTTAAAACAGTAGACACATAAAGAAAAATGATAATACTAAAGAGTAGTTAAAATGATACTACTAGACACGTCTTATGTAGTTTATAATTTTCCCCTTTGAATTACAGATGAAAAAATTCAGGTTTAAAAAATATTTTGAATATAGATTCATTTCAGAGTACAGAATTTCTTTTTTGTTTTTTTGGATGCGTGGCTCTGCATGCAGGATGACCAGGGACAGGCCTTGTGTCTCTTGCAGTAGAAGCTTGGGACCCCGGCCCGCGCGCCGCCTGACCTCAGGGGAGTTCCTTTAAATGATTTTTTTTTAATGATTACTACAAATGTGTTCTGGGGCAAAGGAGCTTTAAATTAAAATACATTTAAATCCATTCTTACACTGTCATTTTCTATTGTGGCTTTCTTAAAGGACTTAAGACTTGCTTTTCATTTAACCAATTAAACAGTTTTTCCCACCTATACCAAATTCCCAGACTTTATCTTGGGTGGGCATAAGGAATGACATGAAATACTGTCTGATATGAGAAGGTATTTACCTTCAAAGCCCTACAAATGTTTAATAGAAACCTATATGCTGGAAGGGATTGGGGGCAGGAGGAGAAGGGGACGACAGAGGATGAGATGGCTGGATGGCATCACCGACTCGATGGGCATGAGTTTGGGTAAACTCCGGGAGTNTCACCTGGGGCAAGGTGAACGGGGGCGGGGCGGGGGCGGGGCCATTGACGCCGGCTCGGCGCCGGCATTGTGACGTCAGGTCGCGCAGCCGGGCTGGGACCCGGCGCCGGCTCGCTGAGGCGCTTCCCGACTGAGTGACGCGCCGACTCCCCTCCCCGCGGCCCGCCCGCCGGCCTCGCCGCCGCCCTCGCCGCCGCCTCCTTGGCTCCCTCAGAGCGGGCCAGCGGCCGGGGCGGAGGTTCGGGGGCGTCGCGGCGCCGAGAGGGCGGGCGGCCGGGCTTCGGCGCGCCCGGCGGCCCGGGTCCAGCGGCCGATCGGTGCGCTGCGGGCGGGCGGCGGCGGCGGCGGGCGCCGGTCTATATGGCGGCGGCTCTGTCGGGCCTGGCTGTCCGGCTCTCGCGCTCGGCCGCCGCCCGCTCTTATGGGGTCTTCTGCAAGGGGCTGACCCGCACGCTGCTCATCTTCTTCGACCTGGCCTGGCGCTTGCGCATCAACTTCCCCTATCTCTACATCGTGGCTTCCATGATGCTCAACGTCCGTCTGCAGGTGGGTGAGGCGCGCCCGCCCGACCCCTTGTCTCCCCCCCGCCCCCCGGATCGTCCCCGAGCGCCGGTCCGCCCCGCGCCGCCCGGCCCACCCTCGCCCAGGCCGTGAAGATGCCGCCGGGAGCTGCCAGGCTGGATGCCGAGTGTATGGCTCAGCACCGTGCCTTTCTTCCGCAGAGGTCATTGTTGACTCTCTTTTCGCAGAAGAGGCGGGGTGGGGTGGGGGCGTGGAGCGGCAGGCCTCGAGTAAGGTCCTACAGCAGGCTCACGGGCTCTAAAGGCCCTGGCCCTGAAGAGGAAATTGTGAAAATGACTGATTGGGGGTGCGGGGGCGGGGATTGCGTTTACGGTAGACTTTTCTAGTTCCCAAACTTTATGCTTTGAAAGCGATCCAAACTTAAGGTAAACTAATTAATGTTAATCGACGTTCTGATGAAGGTATCATGTTTATTATCCTGGCCCGGGGTGGAGGGTGATGGTGGTGAAAGGAGTGGGGGTGGTGATGAGGAAAAACGAGATGTAAAGACGTAGAGCGGCAAAGGTTCAGAGGCCTGAAACAGTTCAGATGTGAAATAGTACACACACCCACACACACCCAGCACCCTGGAGATCATCTTTGCTATCAGGGATTGACGTTTCTACCTCCCTCAAATTCCAGATGCTTTTCTGGCGGAGTGGAAAACCGTCAGATTGAGAATTATTTCTTCCCGAGTGTGTCATAGATGGCCAAGTGCTGAGCATCTCTTGGGTTCCGTTTACACATGGGGGAGGGTCTGCTGTGTACAGCCTAGGGCTCTGTGATGGACAAGTCCCTGTTCTCCAAGAGCTGATGGTCTGACAGTACTTAGGGGAAGCCTGAGCAGGACTATGCAGTATTGACATGGGCGGGGCAGGAGTACTCTTTTTTTTTCCCTGTGGTTTGACTGTGTGTGTGTGCTAAGTCACTTCAGTCATGTCTGACTCTTTAGGACCTCATTTGTAGCCCACCAGTCTCCTCTGTGCATGGGGTTTTCCAGGCAAGAATACTGGAGTGGGTTGCCTTACCCTCCTCCAGGGAATCTTCCCTACCCAGGGACTGAAAGCCTCTATGTCTATTGCATTGGCGGGTGGTATCAGAATGTAATTGTCTCAAATCCTCTCACTGGTGACATAAAACCACCTATTGACCAAAATTAAGTTAAGGTTAGTTGGGATGAACCGGCCTCTCTATTTCAGGGTCCAAATTGAGATTCTTTTGTGTGAACAGGGGCTTGTGGCATCCTTAAGTGGTGCCAAAGGAGTCAGAAACTCAGATTGTATTAATGAGCAAAGAAGGTGCTGGGAGTGAGAATAGAAATAAGCCAGAAAGCCTGTGCTCCAGCCTGTTGTCACCAGCCAACTGCTGTGTGCTAGAGGCAGCCATTTCCAAGAGAAAGTGGAAATCCTAATTTTTAAATATCAATGCAACAAAAGATAACCTTTGTGGGCAAAGCAGAACGTGTCAGGAGGCTATATCTGACCCTCAAGCTGCACTTTGGAAACTTTTGTTCCGGAGTTACTTGTATAATTTGCAGGCTTCCCAGGTGGCACTAAATGGTAAAGAACCTGCCTGCCAACGCAGGAGACATTAAGAAATGAGGGTTCTGTCCCTGGGTCGGGAAGGTCCCTTGGAGGAGGAAATGGCAACCCCCTCCAGTATTCTTGCCTGGAGGGCTACAAAACATAGGGTCACAAAGAGTTGGACACGACTGAAGTGACTTAGCACACACTTAGCATGTAAAGTCACAAGTAAGAGAAAAATCAACGTAATGTGGAAAATAGCCAGTTGTGTACCATAAAAAACTCACCTTTCTGATTATGTCCACTTAGTTACTTTTGACCACGCTCTAGTCCAAGCTGCCAAGGTGCCTCCATCTGTTCTCCCCAGGGCCCTTGGAGATGTCTTTTAAAAATATAAATCAGATTGTGTCATTCCTTACAAAGAAAAAAAGAAACCCAAACTGCTTGCCACTGCACGTGGCATGCAGTTCACGTGTTTCTGTGCTGTAGATTTGGCCTCTGCCCACCTTTCTGACCTCTCCCTGGCTGGTTCCGAGCTTGCTCTTCTGTTTTCCTGTCTCCTCTCTGCAGGCACCAAGCCTCTTCCTGCCCCTGGGCATTTGCACTTGCTGCTCTGGCCACCTCGAGCACTCCTCCCTGACTCTTAGAATGCCAAGACGCTTTCACTCCTGGGTTCTCCTTTCAGAAGGGTCTTTTGGGATCAGTGAATCAATCTGGTCTTGCAGCCGCTGTCGTCACTGCAAGAGTGCTGAGGCTTGTCTCATATCGACAAGGCGTGAAGGACTCCATCCCTGTTACGTTGATGAGGGTCTCCAGATCTCCCAGTTTGTAGGCCAGTAGGGGAAGCTCTGGAAAGGCTGCTGAGATACAGATTTCCTAACGAGGAGCTTGCACTGTCATGATTGAGGGTGAGCGCACTGTGGAGGTGGGAGGTTGGCTCTGGGGTGCGTGGTGCCGGCAGAACGGAGAGCCGGGGACACCGGCCCCGCGGGTGGCTTGCCGCCCGTGATGCCCGGTCCACGGGCAGCGCAGCTTCGGAGAACCGTGGAAGCTGAACACTCTGGCTGTAGAGCGCGGGGTTTATTTGGCCATTCCGGGTGTGAGTTGGGGTGGGGAGGCGCAGACAACGTGGTCACTAGGTACTTTGGGGGAGGGCTGCCTGAGAGCTGTGTGAGGATTTTCGATTGTGGACTGTCGACAGCCCAGCCCCTGCCATGTTCAAGGGTCGCCTGTATTTGCAAACTGGATATCTGACAAGGATTAGTGTTCAAAACACATGAAGAGCTCTTACAGCTCGGCAACAACAACCCAATTCAAACATGGGCAAAGGGCTTGAGTAGACATTTCTCCAAAGAAGATACACCAGTGGCAAGTAAACCCAGGAAAAGATGGGCAGTTGGAACGTGTTTGTGGGCAGCCAGGGCACCGGCCGTGGTGAGGACCTGAAGCATGGTTACAGTGACCTCTGAGCCCCGAGCCCCAGCCTGTGACTTGAACCTTGTGGCCCCGTGGGACACCCGGAGGAGGGGCCCTGGTGGCCAGGCTCCCCTTCCCATCCCAGCCCTGCAGGGTGCCGACATGGCATCTCCCTGCTTCCAGGCCCTGACAGGCCCATCCGGGCCACCTTCTCTCCCTGAGACTCACGCTCCTTCCATCTCCCCTCATCTGCCCCCGTCCTGTCCCAGGGACACTTGTGGGCCTGGAGGATGAGGGACTGCTCGTCTCTCACGGGCAGAATCTCCTCGCCTGGACCTGGGGACCCCAGGCCAGCCTTAGTCCCCAGAAGCCTGTACTCACTGCTCTGGCTCCAAATCTGAGCCCAGCTACACAGGCTGAGAAGCTTCCCATGCCCAGCCCTCGCCTGACCTGGCCCTGCTCCCAGGAGGCCTCTCTTCTGCCAGGGAGGCGATAAAACCCAGTGCTGGGGGAGAAAAATTGGGAAACTGCAAGTCAAAGCCACACTGAGACGGGCTCTTATTGGGGGAGGGGACAGCGAGGATGTGGAGAAATTAGACCCCTGTGCACTGCTGGGAGGAATGGAAGGTGGTGCGGTTACTGTGGGACGCAGTTTCAGTTCATTCAGTCACTTAGTCGTGTCTGACTCTTTGTGACCGTACAGACTGCAGCACGCCAGGCCTCCCTGTCCATCACCAACTCCTGGATCCTACTCAAACTCATGTCCGTTGAGTCAGTGAAGCCATCCAACCATCTCATCCTCTGTCGTCCCCTTTTNGCAGCACTGCTGGTGATTCCTGTGTCTGTCAGCACGTGAGAGGACAAACAGAGTGTGTGACCCTTCAGTGGGGTCTTTCTCAGCTTTGAAAAGGAATGACGTTCTCACGCCTGCTACAACTTGGATGGACTTAAGGGACGTCATCAAACAGACAGAGCATAGAAGGTGGTGGCCAGGGGCTGGAGAAGGGGAAACGGGAGTTGTTGAATGAAGACACTTCTCATTTGGATGAAAATGCTCCAGAGCCACGTGGTGGTGGTGGATGGTAGCCTTTATGTGTATTTTGCTGCAGGTTTGAAAGAAGCACCAGACGAGTGGCTGTGCGCTTGGTTGCAGTGGCAGTGCTCAGTTGCCGCGACAGTCTCTTGAGAGCCTGTCCTTTTTTCGGCTGCGCTGGGTCTCCGCTGCTGCGAGGGCGCCTCCCTAGTTGCGGCGCCGAGGCTTCTCATTGCAGTGGCTTCTCCTGTTGCTGAGCGTGGGCTCCAGGGCTTTCGTGCTCCAAAGTCGTGGAGCACAGGCCTAGTTGCTTCGAGGCACGTCGAACCCATGTTCCCCCCCATCCATTGGCAAGCAGACTCCAGCCACTGGACCACCGGAGAAGTCCTGGACATACATTTTCGTTTCTCTTGGTTATATGCCTAGGGTTGGAATTGCTGGGTCATGTGGTAGCTTTGTGTTCAACCAATTAAAAAAAAAATCATTCTTATTTCCTGGTGAGAGTGGCGGGGGAGCAGGGAGACCCTTAGATGAGCGGGAGAGAGGAGTGTCAGTGATTCATCACGGAGACGCCGGGGAGGCCCTGGAGGAGGTTGCATCGTGGGCATATCTTGGCATTTGAGCCAACAGGCTTGCCTGCCTGAAAGGACGGGGTGGTGTGAGAGAAGTGCTCGTTTGCATCTCTTTGTGTGAACTGTGCCTGTTTGCCCGTTTTTCTGGTGGGTTGTCGGTGGGTTTCTTGAAGCTTTGTCAGATAAGAGTTGTCTGTTGATAAGAATTGAAAAAATTTTCCAGTTACTCTGTTTTTTATTTTGCTTATAGTGTGTTTTTGCCATATTGAAGTTTTATGTAGTGAAATTTAACAGTCATTTCTGACTTTCAGGTTTTATCCTAGTTAGAAAGGCCCTCCCAACTCTAAAGATGCGAGGAATTCACTTGTAATTTACTCTGGTACTAAGACATCATGTTTTACTTTTACACGCAGAACGTTGGAGTTTGCCCTGGTGTGTGGTGCACAGTATTGATCCATACTGACCTGTCTTCACCTGCCGCAGGGAAGCTTGCGCGTGTGGCGGTTCTGTCCTTGTCCCTGCTTCACTGGAAGGCGAGCGTATGGGAGACAGATCCTTTTTGTCCGCTTGGCGCACCGTCCCCATCCCTGTGCTCAGAGCAGCCCTGGCGTAGCTTGGGCTCTGTGAACACCTGCTGATTGAATCTGTAGCAGAAAATACCACAGGTGTGGAATTTCCAAAGGAAAGCTTATAGTCATGAGTAGTTATCTTTACAGTCATGCCAGCTCGCCCTTCCCGGAGGTCAGCGTGCTGGGTGCCTCCTCGGGCAGTGCCAGGGCCTCTGACGGCTCCCAGCCCCTGGCCGCTCCCGCCTGAACTGCCGCATCTGTTCCCCTCTGCGACGTGCTGGTCCATGCTTGGGCCACTTTGGTCATCCAGGAGTCACTTCTCTGTCCTCTGTTTGACAGACTCTCTCTGTTGTGTTTTGTCCCTGGTTCCCTCTGACACTCTTTAAAAAAAAAATTAACTAATTTTGACTGCCCCAGGTCTTAGTTGTGGCATGCGAACTCTTAGTTGCGGCTGGCGGGATCTAGTTCCCTGACTCAGGATGGAACCCAGGTCCCCTGAATTTGGAGCATGGAGTCTTAGTCACTAGACCACCAGGGGAGTCCTTCCCCTATGCTCTTGCTGATAGAGATGCTCATAGCAGCTGTTTCTCGGCTCACGCGGGACAGCAGGTGCTGCCTCTCGCCCTGCCGGCGGAGCACACCCTGGCGCCTCTGGGTGGCGGCCCCAGAGCCGCCTCGCGGGCAGGTATGGCGTGGACCCTGCATGGTTCAGAGCAGGGCCTGGGTCCTTGGGGCCGACTCCCTGCGCTGGTGCTCTAGGGCGGCACAGAGGTGACCCGGCCCTTCCTCTTGCTCATCCTCTAAGCGGTGTGGCCAGCATTGCAGTTTGTCTCAGATGCTTTCACGGTGAGCTCAGCAGTGGGCAGGTCTGCTGACGCCGCCTCGGAGAGCTGGGAGTGGGCAGCGTCACTCCGAGGTGGAATCGGAAACCGGCACAAGCGAATGTTGGTGCAAAGCAGAGACAAGACCAGTGGGTACTGAAGTGGGGAGGCTAAATTAGGGCTATAGGATTAACAGGTTCAGACTACCATGTATAAAACAGGTAAGCAACAGAATATATTGCATAGCCACCTCCTGTAGTAACTTTGATTAGAGTATCATCTGTAAAAATACTGAGTCGCTGTGCTATGCATAATATTGTAAGTCCACTGTACTTCAATTAAGAAAACCCAGCCGTGAAGCCAGGTGGCCTTGGAGTGTGGTACGTGAGCTGTCCCCAGGCAGGACCCCCTCCCCGACGGTGGTCGTCCAGCCGAACAGCCACGTGCATTCAGCTGTGTCCCCTGCCCACCCCACCCCACCCCCCTTCGGGAATAGCCTTGCCGGCTGGCTTTCAGTGGCACAGAGGCGGGGGTATTTTTAGTTTCCAGAGCAATGGTATCCAGACCATCATGTCCCTGAGGCCATTAATAGCGCAGGTTGGGGAGGGTAAGGTGACCGCACCAGAGGGTGCAGCTGCCGAATCGGGTCAGGCCTGCTGTCGCCCAGCAGGGCAGCCGCCTCCCTGGCGGGGTTCCTTGTGGCCCAGGTTGCTCCTGTCTGCCCCGAGGACGTGAGCCCGACAGACAGTCTGTTTCCCTCCACACCTCGCCCCTGCTGGTCGCTGTGGTTCCGAATTCAACTGTTGTCTGTTTTGGGGGGGCGCAGGGGGCAGGCACTGGTGAGGGAGGTCAGGAGTAGGATCAGGAATTTACTCCCAGCCCTGCACTTTATTTTTCTTGCACCATACTGTGTTTTTATTTTTATTTTCATTTTCTTAACTAATTAATTAATTTTTAATTTATTTTTGAAAAAAAAAATTTTATTTTTGGCTGCGCTGGGTCTTCACTGTGGCACATGGACCTAGTTGGCCTGCTCCACGTGGGAACTTCCAGACTGGGAATCAAACCTGTATCCCCTGTATTGGCAGGCAGATTCTTAACCCCTGAACCACTAGGAAAGTCCTGAATCACACTGTCTAGAATTTCAAAATAGACTTCCCTCATTTAGGGGGGAGGGGTCTCAGTTTTTGTGGATGTGTCAGTTTGCCATAATTCATGCTGCTTATTATTTTGTAGATCTGGGGGTTGAGGGTGGGAGATGAGAGCTGGGCCGAGGACGGTTCGTTGGGTAATGGTACGTGCTTCATTTGGCAAGATACAGTGTACCAACACATGCACAGCACAGTGAGAGTAAACCACAGGAACTCACCGGTGACTCTGCTCAGAGATCACTGGGAAGGTGTTTCTGGCTCTCAAATATGTGATGTGTGTAACCATCCCGTATCAAAAGTCACCTGGTTGAGGACTCAGAGCCAAACATGTTTAACTGACCTACTGAGGTCTTTTCGTGACGAGTATTGAATGCATAGTTTATTGCTGAATTTACTGAAGAGCCAGATCTTTAGTAAGCAGTTATTCTCTCGTTACTTGTTATTGTTCAGTCAGTAAGTCGTGTCCGACTCGCCAAAGTATTGAAGCTTCAGCTTCAGCATCAGTTCTTCCATTAAATATTCAGCGTTGAATACATGATAAGTTTGTCATTATCGAAGGTATGATTACATTAAGGGTATCTTATTTAAAATATTGTAACAATTGTGACAACACTTCATCTTTCTGAGCTGTACTAAGTTCTCCTATAAGGACATAATAAAAGTAGGTAGAAGCCAGTTTTCCTGAGAGTTGGCCCATATTAAATGACCTATTTTTCTTAATTAAAAAAAAAAACACTGTTCTAATATGTTTTAAGATATTTAGGAATGCTTCCATTTCAGGAAAACAGTCATTTTTAGTACATTTCAGATCAGTAAAATTAAATGTAAGGTTTAAAATAACGTGCTTTGGAGAGTTAATTTAAGAGAAGTTAGGTTTGCCTTGGTGAACTGTGAGTGTTGGCTGTGCTTTACAAAGCACTTCTTGTAGTGATATATACAAACATTGAAATACTAGGTTGTATGCTTGAAACTGACATATTTTATGTCAGTTATATATCAATTAAAAAAAAATCTGGGGACATCCCTGATGGTCTAGTGGCAAGGACTCTGCACTCCCAGTGGGAGGGGCGCAGGTTCCATCCCAGGTAAGGGAACTAGGTCTCACACACCCAAACTAAAGATCCAGTGCAGCCAAATAAATACTCAAAATATAAAAAGATAATTGCACATTATGTTTGCCTATAGTTTTATGCTGCTCAAATGCATTTGTGTCAGTGTTATATAGAATAATACTCATCCCTGTACAGAGTATGCCCCAAGGAGACGTGAGGTTCCCCGGTGGCTCAGCCATAGAGAATCTGCCTGCTGACACAGGAGATGTGGGTTCAGTCCCTGGGTGGGGAAGATCCATGGACAGAGGAGCCTGGCGGGCTATATATAGTCCATGGGGTCCCAAAGAGTCAGACATGACTTAGCAACTCAACAACATAAGTAAAGTTGCCCATGATTCCTTAAAAGTGGCTTGTCATGCCTGAGTCACTGAGTATCATTCTCAAATAGGACACTCTGGGTAAGGCCTTGGTTTCCTGATTGAGTCATCTAGTTTATCTTGGTTAAAGGGAGCCACTTTTTATTGAACCTGCGCAAATAACTGCATTGCCATGAAAAGTGCAGAGCCTCAGTACATATTTAAGTATTTTTAGGAAATACTGCATTAATCAAGTTCTGTTCTCTTTATTGTTATTTCTAATTGGTAGGTTGACATCTTGTTTTCTATCACAGTGGGGAATCCTTGGTACCGGAGACTGTCAAAGAGACCTTCATATTTGCTAGGAAATACCTGGTGTGTGTGGACTCTCTGGAGACCCTGTCTTCATTATTACCCTGTAATTTGTTGGTCTTTTCCAGGTTCATATTGAGATCCACTGAAGGCCTTCCGCGGACTGACAGGCGTGTCCTGGGGCTCAGGGTGTCAGAGACACAGCATGAGGGACGGACGCAGGCCTTTCTGCGCCCGCTTCGCGGAGGAGCGGAGAGCAGGTGCCGCCTCCGACAGAGCCTTGTGCAGAGAACTATGGAGTGAGAGAAGGCAAGAGGGGAGCCCTCGGCCCGCAGATGCCGCTTCCCGGGTGAGGAGGCCTGCGGCCACTGCCCGGGGAGATCCACGAAAGGAGGAGTCATCACCGGAAACAGAGCGGGACCTGCGTGGGGCCAGCCTCGTGCTTCGCGGTGGCCTCAAAGCACTTCCACGGTGGCAAGAAGCGGCACAAAGAAGTTCGGCCTCAGCTGCCGCGCAGAGTAGCACTGCGGGTCTGTCCTCGGCGCCTGCAGGGCCGCGGTGTGTGGGGCCGGCCCACGGCGTCAGGGAGGCTCCGGGGACGGACTGGCCGTGGGCAGCGCCCGTGCCCACTGGTGGCCACAGGGGACGGAGCCACGGCGGAGAGCCCTGGGGGTCTGGACTGCTGGGCCGGCCGAGCGGGTCCGCACAGGGGGGTTCCGAGGATGATCCGCCCCGTGCTTTCCTAGAGAAGCTGGACTCTGCGTTGGCACCCTCTTGCCTGCGATCCATCCTGCTGCACGCGCATCCCCTAATATTCTTGAATGATGAGACAAAAAGTGTTTTCCCTGGCCATTCAGAGCCCATGTTTTCAGAGCCAAGAGTAGAATACAAGAAAATGCTTTCATGGGAAGAGAGTGCCTCAGATGATCTGCAGATAACTGTGGCGTCACTGGCCCCACAAGCTTTTGAAGGAGCAAATCTGTTATGCCACGGTTAAGGTACAGGCAGAACAGTAAAAACAGTGAGACTAACTTCAAGCGCTCTCCTCGAATGCTTTCTTTTGCGTTAACTCTGGACACACATGGCGCGGCAGTGAAGCTCTGGCTTTGATTCGTGTGACCAGACAGACTTAAAGTCAGTGGAGCTTAAACCCACAGAAGCTGGTTGATACGGAAGGAAGTCTCTGTACTTGAAAGACATTTAGGATTGGGAAGCCATGTCAAGGAGGTTATTGATATTACCTTATACACCTATCAGACTAGAATCGAAAGATGTAAGAGCAAGTTTTAAGTTTACCTTCAGCACCCATCCAGCAGGGCTGCCACCTCAGGCACTATCTCTCCAGCCTGTTCTCTGACCATCTGATGAGTAGACACTTGTAAAAGGCAGCCCTGCTGGGCTTGGTCTGAGCCAGGCCACGTCGATGCTGAGCTGTTGCCATTTCTGTGTTTTGTAGAATAATTTGAGCAAAAACTGATGTCTTTTCTCACAGCCCTTTCCTTTCACTTGACATGCAATTTACATGGAGGCCCTACGGTGAAAGTTGCAATATTAACATTACCTTTAGATAACCCTTCCTCAAACTAGGAACCCTAGGAGTGTTACCCAAAATAAAAAATGAGCTCCACTGGAGCTCAGTCCTAGAGAAAAAAAAAGCAAGTATTTCCCCGTATAGAAGGTCTCCAGTTTCTAGGAGCTGAGAGATCTCCTACACTAATTTTTTCTGAGATAACTCCTTTTGCCGTGTGTTGATAACTTCGATAAAAGGCACTGAAGAGCAGAAGTTTCTAAGGAGTCCCAGAGTAAGACGTCCCCATTTTCGGAATTATCGACTGCATATATCAGTTTATATTGTGTGCTAAATTACTCTGCCGTGTGCTATGTTAGTGTTCTGGGGAAATGAAAAATAAAACCTGTTCTTTAGCATAATAAATGTCTTATTTTACGTGTGTAGTCTTGGTTCCCTTCGTCTTTATTATTAATGCTGCCTTCCTCATACTTCAGTCTGTTTGTGAAAAGTTTTTCACTGATTTAGAAGATTGGGAGCAGAGAATGAAAAGCAAAATGTAGAATTACTCTGGAACTCAACTCTGCAGATAGAAATAACGTCTTACGATGCTTGTGGAGCAGTGGCCTGCAGCCAGTCTCCCAGGACGCCGACCCAACCAGCCGGAGAAGGCCCTGGCCAGTGGACTCCACCTCGGGGCCATGGGTGGGCGGGGAGCCGAGATGGCACATTGTGGTGTGCTAGAATGGGACTGGTTTCCTCGTCAACACCCTCTCCCTGCCCCTGGTCCCTCCCCACCCCCCGTTTTGTTGTTTTAAACTCTACTTTGAGACGGCTGTCTTTCTTTTGTAAACCCCAAGTATGTGAATTTTCAAACAGTTGCAAAGAACAAATTCAGAATTCCCTATTTAGCATTAACTAAATTAACTTGTGGCACTAGTGGTAAAGAATCCTCCCCGCAAGGCAGCAGACATAAGTGATGTGGGTTTGACCCCTGGATTGGAAAGAACCCCTGAAGAGGGCATGGCAACCCATTCCAGTATTCTTGCCTAGAGAATGCCATGGACAGAGGAGCCCGGCAGGCTGTGGTCCATGAGGTCGCCAAGAGCTGGCCACGACTGAAGCGACTTAGCCCGCGCAAATTCACTTAAAGTGTTTTCGTATAGTGACGTCAGAATAAGGTGAGAAGAAGCTTTTTATGAAAGCTCTCAGGAAGGCTCACAGTAACTTTCCTTACGTTATTTTTTAGTGCGCGTCCACTGCTGACATCATTCCTTTTGGTGCCCTGCTGTCTCCAGGTCTGTCCGGAGGTGGCCTCTCCTGTGGAAAGTTCTGGGGTAGAAAGGTATGATAAATGTAGCGTATGAAACCTATGCAGTTTCAGGACTGTGAAAGAGGGCCTTCTATAAACAGTTCTATTTCCGGAGCAATTAGAGAAATAAGATACTCTTTTGAATAAATTGTTTCCATGAGTGAATTATAAAAGGATATCTCATTTGAAATATTTTAAGTGTATCATTTTGGCAGTGAAAACTAAGGCAAGCCTGTTTTTTAAAGTTCTGATGTCTATATGCATGTTCTTCTTTTTTGCCTTAATGGATTCTGTTCTTAAGGACTAAACAGCATAGTCACTTTAAATTTACAAACAGGGTATAGTGCAAAATCGTGGACTTGGTTATTCACATTTGGAAATCATGAAATCTTTTTCACATGGAATGGATGTTGAGATCTTGAAGTAATTATGAAGTTGCTAGCCTGTAGAGAATAAAAAATTAAGAAGCTTGTGTTTACATCGATTATTCTTACATGACTTTTTTTAAAATTTTTTTCCATTTATTTTTATTAGTTGGAGGCTAATTAATTTACAACATTGCAGTGGTTTTTGTCATACATTGAAATGAATTAGCCATGGATTTACATGTTATTCTTACATGACTTGATTTTATAGCTAGGAAGCAACATGTGTATTTTGGAGCTTTGTGTGTGTATTCTAAAACGCATATAGGCCATTTCCTGTAATTTTACACAGAATAAGAAATGTGGAGACTTCCCTGGTGGTCCAGTGGATAAGACTCTGAGTTCCCACTGCAGGGGGCCCGTGTTTGATCCCTGGTCAGGGAACTAATTAAAATNTTTTTTTTTTTTTTTTTTTGCAATTTTATGGAAGCTTGGATGCACTGGACCAGTTTAAACAAAGCATCTGTTCACGTTTCATTTGTACTTCACATGCTGCAAACTCCACAGAGCTGTGTATCTGCATGACTGAAATGTGATTAGAAAACTTGTTTGCCAAGGGCCTGACTGCTTCTTAAAGGTCATCTTCATAGGGTTAGTTTCCTTTTTCCTGAAATGAGCATGTGCCACTGAGTGGAAGGCATCTTGGAGGACTGGTGACTTCTGGCAAACAGCAGTTGTTGAAGGAGCAGGCATGGCTGTGGTTCTGCTTTGCCTGGGTTTTGAGTAACTTCTTTACAGTTCATTTTTTAAATTGCTTAGGTATATAACACAAGGAATTTTTATAGGGGAGCTGTGCCTTGCCACAGTATCAGAGTATAATTCTGCAGTTAACTTGAATGTGTTTAGTTTTTTTTTTTTTAAGGAAGTGGACTTAACTTGTTTTTCCGTCCCCATTTACCTACACAGCATTGTTTCTGTCAGAAACAGGGAATTTGCTTCAGAATTGGAAGCAGGCTCTGTTTTCCTTCTCTTAACGCTGGTCTTCTGTGTTTAAGATTACAAGCACTTTGCCGCTGCTGTTTGTCCAAGGTAATTTGGAGAAAGCATCCAGTCTCTGTGCTCCTTTTTTTTTTTCCCCCCAAGAGTGACTTTTTTTTTAAGTCTTTATTGATTTGTTATGGTATTGCTCCTGGATTTTTTTTTTTTTTTAATGTTTTTGTTTTTCGGCCAGGAGGCTTGTGGGATCTTAATGCCCTAACCAGGGATCAAACCCACACCCCCCTGCATTGGAAGGCAAGGTCTTAACCACTGGACCACCAGGGGAGTCCCTCTGTGCTCCTTTGACTTAAATTGCTGTATTAGTCATTCTCCAGAGAAACGATAGAATCTACAGGTACAGATATGAGGAGATTTATCACAGGAATTGGCTCATGGGATCATGGAGGCCGAGAAGCCCCACTGTCTGCCATCTGTGGACAAGAGACTCGGGGAAGCCAGACGTCATCCAGTCCAAGTCCCAAGGTCTGAGAACCAGGGGCATCCATGTCCACAGGCAGAAGAGGGACCCTTCAGCTCAAGCAGAGCAAAATCGCCCTTTCTCATTTTTGTTATAGTAACTTCTAGTGTTTTGGATGATGGCCACCTGCATTGATGAGGGTGATTTTTTTTTCATATTAAGAGTCCTGAGTTTTATTTAGCATTTTATCAGAGGCTCTAATAAGAGTAAAAGAAAATGAAGATCAATTTCACATTCAATTTTGAGTCTTGCGATAGCGAAAGTACATAGACTGTAACAACCTTGGGAATATGAAACGCCTTATCAGTCAGTTCAGTCTCTCAGTCGTGTCCAACTCTTTGCGACCCCGTGGACTGCAGCATGCCAGGCTTCCCTGTCCATCACCAACTCCCAGAGCTTACTCAAACTCATGTCCGTTGAGTCGGTGATGCCATCCAATCATCTCATTCTCTGTCATCCCCTTCTCCCACCTTCAGTCTTTCCCAGCATCAGGGTCTTTTCCAATGAGTCAGTTCT